GTTTTTGTTAAGATACTGTGACTGACAAAGGGTAGTTTTCAGCTTCCTAGGGTCCTTTTCTTATTTTGATGGATGGTAGAGCTTTCTCATGAACATAAAAAAAAAAGTACTTTTCACAGGCTTTTTCTACCACCAAGTGCATGGGAAGTCTTGTTATCTGACAGAATCTGACTCTCATAACTCCCAAGACTTAGGTGGGATTTGAATCACTACAATGCTATTTTTCTCAGTCAGAGGCTTTGTATTCATTTGTGAAAAGCCTGAAGGTTGGAAAAAGGCAGTAGATTGAATTTGGGAGGTTTTATAAATGCTCCGCAACTTTTTCCTCTGTCTGTTATCAACTATTCCATGCAGATGTAATTCAGAAATGTCATTGACCATTCCTCCCTCCTGCTGTTTTTTGGCTGCATTTTCTAAGACAGTAGGTGGGAAAAGGGAGCTAGAAGATTCATAGGTATAGGAGCACTTACTTCAGCAGTGAACTACTTTCCTATTGAATCACTGTGGTATTTTCTTAACTCAATAACATAATGAAAGACCAGAAGAGAATGACATGTTTTTAATGTCAAAAGGAAATGGAAAAGGAAAGAAATTGAGGTGAGCATAAATGAACTTTCACACTCATCTCTTACATTTCTTTAACTTTGTATGTATAGAAGGGAAGGAGAGAGATTGTGTGTGTGTGTGTGTGTGTGTGTGTGTGAGAGAGAGAGAGAGAGAGAGAGAGAGAGAGAGAGAGAGAGAGAGAGAGACTGGTTTAATATATCTTGACTAGCCTTAGCTGATGTTTTTAGGATATAGGCACCTCTGTGAAAGGTGGCAATTGTGACAGGTATAACATTTCTGAGTCCTTGATAAATTACATAATCTAATACTTTCCACTAATACATGGCCTTTCTGACCTTTTGTGTCTAGATTGGAAGAAAGAGAGCTTAGGACACCATCGACTTAGCTAGGGAAAAGTGAGAAGTGATTTTTTTTTTAAGACTCAAGATAGTTTCTGGGCTATTATAGATTTACTGTGGTGGGATATCTTGTGGCCCACTTAGAGTGCTTAGTTAGCTCAGAAAAATCATTGGAACTTTCTAGTCATAGGTTTTTCCAAAATACAAGTATAATGCGTGATTACATACTCTGTTGGGACAATCCTTGACCCTTCCACACTTCATCCCATCCATACTTAATCTACCACAGTCTTTATCCCCTGCAATGATGAAAAGAAAGTGTTACCAAATATCAAAAGCAAAGCTTGTTCCCCACAAAATGCTATCTAGAGGAGGTTGATTATCACCAAGTGTTCTGCACATAGATACATTATCCTGAGTTCTAAAGACATTTTGAAAAAACATGAGAGGCTTGGTTTTCTTTTGTAACATTGTATTCCACAGATAACCTAGATATTAAATTACTTGTTCTCCTATTGTTTCGAAAGAAAATGCAGATTTTTTTTATTTTATAAGCTTTCTTTAACATAAACAGCAGTCTCTGGTAAAATGGTATTGCTATGCATTTGCATTGTTAGAATTAAATTATGAATTCTGTCATTCAAAAAAGAATGCTTTATAAATCAAGTAAAATCTCATAACTAAGATGAATATGTTTTTTAAATCTCTTGCTTCCTCATATTCCAGACTTTAGTTTTATAGCCCAACTTGTAATTTTTAAGGCATGATTATCCTTTTTTTCCTATTTGTTTACCATTTTCGCTTTGTAAAAATGTTATAAGTGAAAACTAAAGTTGCTATATGTAAGGAACAATGATATAAAAGCACAAAGGCATGTTCAATTTTTTATCTCTGGGTTGGCAGAAAATGTGCCAAATATTCTATACTCCCTCCCTTTCTTCTTCTCTGATTGCATTCATTCCAAATGGTATTAAAACTTTCTAAGTTCTCACAAATAATGAAATCCCAATTATTCTTTTTTTCTTTCTTTTTAAAAAACTAATGTATTATTTGGAATTTGTGAGTAACAAAGATGATCTTGGGCTGGGGTTGTGGCTCAGTGGTAGAGCACTTGCCTAGCACGCATGAGGCACTGGGTTCAACACCACATTAAAAAAAAAAAAAAAACTAAAAGACAGTCTTTATATGTGTGTGTGTGTGTGTGTGTGTGTGTGTGATGTTTGTGTGTGCATTGCAGAAGGGTTAGAAATTGTATTGTGTGACCATATATACTAATTGTGTTAACAAGCACTAGGTGGCTTCGTAATCCTAAGGCGATCCTGCTCAACAGCTGCCTAATTTTTTTTCTCACTGCTGCTATGTGAGTGCCCCAAAGCCTAGGGATTGGTGCAATGGCCCTGAATGTGCGTAAGCAGCAAGATGAAAGATAAGAAAAGGAGAAGGAAGGTCAGGAGTGAGGCACTTAGACCTGGTTGGGGGGCAGTATCTTCAAATGCTGCTGCAACTGGTGATGCAAAGGTCTGAAATTCAGAAGAGAGGTCAGAGGTAGAGATAGAGATTTAAGACCTGAACAGTTGCAGGGCAGGATGAAACTTTAGAGAAACTTTGGAACAATTTCATTTCTCCAGAGAAAAGAGATGAGAAGAGACAGCAAAGGATTTAGGCCTGAGTCTTGGGGAAATGTTTAATGTTGGGGTGTGGAAGGAGGAGGAGGAGGAAGCCTGAAGTAGAAATATAAACTAGCATGCCTGATGGTGAAAGTCACTAAGTGCCATACCTCCTCCAGGAGGTGAATTTTAAGCCAGATAACCTCAGTTATGTGGGTGGAGGGTGGAAGATGTATACACTAAAATCCTGAGACCATCTTTGCCTTGCTGCAAGATATGATAGATGTAAAAACGAAGCTAATGGCTTACCTTGGAACACATTCATCTTGAAAAAACCTCTTTATTGTCATTTTTAGCACAGATGAGGATTTCCTTACAGTCCCTACATGTGCTGAAATTATATAGCTATTCCTAGTCTCCTTGTAAGAATTCAAGAGGATTAAGTTAATACCATTCTTAATTCTTTCAACCTATAAATTCTTTTTTTCCAGGATTTGCAGAGAAATATAAAGGCAAATTGAAGTGGAAATGTTATTAGACTTTGAAAATCATTTAAATTTGCTTATATCTAAATGATCAAAAGGAGAAACAAAAAGACATCCACCATAGAAAGCAACAGTGTACCTTTTCATTTCTGGCACTAAGTTTAAGTTATATTCCACTTCTTGCCAGGGAGGTAAAACAATAGAGCTACCTGATTCCAGTGATCTAATATGGTTAATGGATGCAGTTGGATAGGGGATCACTGCTAATGTTCCATAGCACAGTAAGGTAACTATGATTGACAATAATTAATTGTATGTTTTAAAAAATAGCTAACTAGAGAGGATTTTGAATGTTCCTAGCACACACAAAAAAATGATAAATGTTTAAGGTGATAGACAAATTACGCCAATTTGACCATTGCACATTGTATATATGTATTGAAATATTACACTGCATGCCATAATTGGGCATGATTCTTATGTGCAATTTAAAATATTTTAAATATTTTTAAATGAATGAAAAAGTAAAAGAGATTCAATGCACATATGATGATGTGGAAATTAACCCAGCTATTATGTACACCTGTAATGCACTAATAAATTCTTCTCCTGAAAATTCAAAAAATAAAAATAAAATGAATGGGTGAAGTACCCCCCCATCAAAAAGTTTGCATTATATATAGCTTTATAAAAGTTTTTAAGGCCACACCTGGATTCCCAGTGAACTTATAGGAATGCTTTCATGGCAAGAAAAATAAATATGGAGAAGTGATTGCCTAAACTACTTAAGCATCATAAATAAGAAAAATGCATAGCATGTGTTGAATGAAAAACACTTGGTAAACTAACTCTATTTTCTCCTGGGAATTCAGGTGGCCTAGCAACTTGCACTCTTGAGTCCAAAAAAAAATTGTCATTTTTCTCTCTCTTCCTCTCCCAATATCCTCATGCACTATAAAGAATCTTAGTATCTATAGGAATAAGAATTTCTTGCGGTTGTGTTTGCCATAAAAGAATTATAGTGGACCTAGTAATCCAAATGAGATAATTATTAGCTGCTGCATGTAGTGCTCATGAGTTGAAAACAACAATGGTTTACATGATAATGTGATAAACAGCTAGTCCGGTGACATTCTTTGCTACCACATAGTAAACACCATAATTGGCAGCCATGTCAGTGTTTAGGTGACACCAAAGGCATGTTGGATTCTGTGGAACTGACATGTTATCCTGTCTTGAATGTGTTTAAATCATCAATAAGACATCCAAATAGCTGAGAATCTAAAATATACTTTGGTTTCAATTATCTAAGTAATGTAGGTCTTTGCTTCTAGAGCCTGAAGAAAAAGTTGGCTGCCAGATATAAGGATTTATTTTTTGATTAACAGAATGTCAGTGGATTTCAGGATGTTTTTCACATTCTGGATTTTGGGAAAAGAGCTCCTAGATTGCCCTCAAATAATGGAATCCAAAATTTATATATCTATGTGTGGATGGTTATTAAATGTTTTCCCTGAATTTTCTTGGTTACTTAAACATGTGGATTCAAATCCCAAGTCTTCTTTAAAAACACATGATTTGCCAACTCGTGATGGATGATTTTTATTTAAATTTGCAATTTATTTAAATTTTATGACATAATATTCACAATATTTTATGTTCTAAATATAACTTGATACCTACCAAAGCAGAGCAGAGTGGCTAAGAGAAGGAGTTCTGGAATCAGACCAGCTGGGTTTTAGTTCTAGTTTTGTCACTTTTTAGTTGTGTGTGCGTGGGCAAGTCACTTAGCCTCTCTTAGTCTCAGTTTCCTGGCCTAGAAAATGAAGATTGTAAGAGTATCAGTTTTACACTTATGAAGATGAAATAAGTTAATTCATGGAAAACATTTATGAAAGTTCTTGGCACATGATAAGAACTTAATAAATAAGCTCTTATTTCCTCAACCATGTAAGATTGTTAGAAATACTAAATAAAAACTTTGTCTAATTCTTCACTATTAGGGTCGGTGTACTCGCGAGAATTGCAAGTACCTTCACCCTCCTCCACACTTAAAAACGCAGCTGGAGATTAATGGACGTAACAATCTGATTCAACAGAAGACTGCAGCAGCCATGTTCGCCCAGCAGATGCAGCTTATGCTCCAAAATGCTCAGATGTCATCACTTGTAAGTCACAGCTGTCTGAAAGTTGACAGTGCATATTGTTTGTCTTATGATGCTGGGAACTAGACCCAGGGCCTCATGTGAGCTAAGCAAGTGTGTCACCAGCGAACTACATCCCCAGCCTCATGTACTTTATTCGAAGCATATATATCTACATTGGAATAACCTTGTAGGCCTTTGGAAAGCTAGTTACTACAGGATTTAGGACTCAGCTCATGTTCATTGACACTTCTGAGCTGTGCATGTGAAGAGAGCAATCAGGTGCATGGGATTGAAATCCTGGTTGCATTTATGCATGAGTTGATTCCTAGAAGAATATTAACAAAGGAGCAAGTGCATTTTAAGATGAAGAGAAAGATTGATTATTATTACATGGAAATCTTTGAATTCTAGGACATTAATTCAAACAAAATTCTCTATTCTTTGACAGTTTTGTTGTTGCCTTTTAAATAAACTTTTTATTTTAAAGTCATTTTGGATTCATTGGAAGAATTTTAAAAGCAGGCCAGAGAGTGCCTGCATTACCCCTCACCCAGTTTCTCCAGAGTTTTGTTTTATGTTGGGGGGTTTTGCTTTGTTTTGTTTTTTACAGGAATTGGAGTTTTGAACACGCTAGGTAAGTGCTCTACTACTGAGCTACACCCCAGCTTTCCCCTGCCATTAACATCTTAAAATACCATAGCAGACTTATCAGAACCAAGAAATTGAGATTCTCATATTACTGTTAACTAAACTGCTGGCTTTATTCCCACTTTACCATGTTTTCCAATAATGTTCCCTTTCTATTCTAGTGTCTTCTCCAGGATACCAGTACCACAGTACATTTGTTTGGATTCTGTCTCCCCTCTCTCTTCTGATCTGTAACCATTTCTCAGTTGTTTCCTATTTCGAATGACCTTAACATTCTTGAGGAATACTAGCTAGTTATTCAGTGGTGGTTTGTACTACTTAACCTAAATACAGAGTTTCCTTCTGCACGAAATTAGTAAAATTAATAAGTGTCTAGTATTTTGTGGATCAGTGAGTTTAAATGGATTTATAGAAAGCAATTAAGCTATATCTGTTCATATTGTCCTATTGAGAATTTATCTTGTCCTGATACCTTCAAATGTAATGTTGCATTTTGGCCCAACACTTCTTAGAGGGAATTGAAAACTGTCCCCTTTTTGCTACAATTCTTCAGCTCTCAGATTTAGCACAATGGTGTCTCATTCTAATTCCAGCTAGCCAACATTTTTAAAATTAACAAGATAAATTTGAAAGAACTGTTACCTTTCTTTGTTACCCATTCCATCAGTGACTATATAATAAACACTGAAAGCCAAAAGATACATGTGTTATTTAGATGCAAAGAAAATATGAGAATAGGACAATCTGCTGTCAGCAAAACCTTATTATAAAGTTGGTTCTCAGAATTCAAGGAAATCTGGGTTAATGTAACACCCTTTAACTATCATGCCTGTATACATAAATGCAAAAAAATAGTTGAGAGGGGCATTGATGTTTTGCACCATGATATTCTTTTTTCCAGAATGTCTAGACAGATTTAGGTAAACTAAATATATTTCATGTCCTGTACTCTTAGTTTGCCAAAATATTTGCCTTGGAACCCAGTGCTAATTAATTATGTTGATAAATTGGTTCTCAGATCACCAATAGCCTCTTCAGAGCTCCTGTTTGACCTTCACTAATACTTTTCATTGTCAACTCCTTACCGAAACTCTTTCCTGGGCTTTCACACACTGCGTTTCCTCTCTGGGTCTAAAGGAGTAGGGAAGGAAGACAAAGGCTCCTAGATATGTACAAAACAGAAGTGAATATGCTTGGTGAGTCCAGAAAATGTAGAATAAACCAGAGGAGCTTTTACTTTTTTCCATTTTATTAAGATATAATTGGCAAATAAAAGTATATATGTTTAAGATGTACAATGTAAATATGATATTTGTATAGTTTATTAAATGAGACAACATGGATTAGCTTGGAAAACATTATGCTAAGTGAAATAGGCCAGATAGAGAAAGAAATACTGCCTGACCTCACTTGTATGTGGAATCTTGAAACAAGTTGAACTCACAGGCACACAGAATAGAAGAATGGTTCCTAGGAGTTAGAATGAGGTTACGGGAATATTCTTCAAAAGTGACTATGACAAAGGAATGTTTAACTCAACATTGCTACCCTCATCCTCTTATGGGATGTCTTACTTTCAAATTGAGCAAGGATTGGGAGCAAGATTTTATTGTCAAACACCTGAGCCCACCATATTTTATAGTGTTAGAGCAAATCTCTTTTCAAAGGTCAGGGGCTAGTTCAGGGCACCAGTCAAATGACCTGCTTCAGGGAATCAGAGAGCAAGTTGTAGGGTAAAGTAGTGGTAACTATACACCTTCCATTCAACTTCTGCCAGAGTCTGTCCATTCAAAGTCTCAATCCTTCTTGCATTATTGATCATGTGGGATCACACTGGAGGAGTAGGGAGTGTTTTGTTTTTTTTTTTTTTTTTTTAGAGTCCAATAAGAAATTCATTAAGTTTTTTAGCCTCTTGATTTGTGCTGTCTAATTTGATTCAACATGATTTCTATAGTAGAATGCATTTCCTTTGGTTTTTTCTTCATTGGTGATAATTTCAGATTTTAGACTGCAGATGATGATTGATATGACTCACAGGAGTACAATTTATTTTATGGCATGTCACAAGATACAAGGCATTACTTAGAAGATCCCAGGGAACAATTAGAAATTACTTTTTTACCTCATAGATTATTTAATGATAACTGTTGTGATGTGATAAACTGATAAAAGATTAATTTCTGCAGTTATTATGTGTACAAAATTCTAAGCCTGCTGTAGCTGATATGCTCCTGCTCTGTGGCCTAGGAAGCTGCCTCATAGATGTTCTGTAATTGAGTTAATGCAAACGATTTTAAGTGGCATTTACCAGTCTGATCTGGAAGAAATCTTTTCATTATGGATCCTGATCCTGAAATAATTATAGAAGTAAAGTTTAATTTTACTTAATTTCCCTAGTACCGACTCTCCACCAAACAACTCTTGCTCTCTTAGTCACCCCATTACCAACAATTGAATACTTGTCCCTAAAATAGTCAAGCTTTTGTTTAAAATATTTCTAGTTCTTATATTTGTATGGTTTCCCAGTAAGACCCATTTATATTACTGGCTTAAACTTCAGGTCTTTCTACAAAGCATACTTTGATCTGTTTCTGGGATACCAGAAAAGCACATCTGCCTTTGCAAGATTGAATATGGTTTGCTTATTATAAGCCCATAGATAAAGGGAATGTCAACCTCAATGGGATGGTAACTAGAGAGCAGATTCTGTTCAGTGTGACTGAACGATGAATAAAAGCCACACCTAGTCGATTTGTGTGGAATGCTTGCTGCAGCAGGCAAGTTTGTTCACTGTATTTAACAGGTCTGCGTTGACATTTGCTATTATAAAAATCCACCCTGAAAGCTTTTTGTTGGCTTTATTAAGAAAGTGAAACAAAGGGCGTGACTCCCAAGTATTTTTTAGTGCAATTTCAGAGATTGCTTGTAATATTCACAGCAAAAAAAGAAGAAGAATTTTAACTTTAAAAACTCCCCCTTTTCATAATCAGAAGGCAAACATGAGCATTGTTGAAGAATGTTAGGAAAAGTAGACATACTGGATTACTCTCAAGCAAAACTAAAATTGGAAAATTTTAGTTTCACAACTAGGAATTTTAGTTATTGGGAGGAAGGATTCTCACTAATGGATGTGATGCATGTGTCTGTGTGTACAAATATATGTACATATATGTTTGTATGTGCATGTGTAGATAAAGTAGATATGATGTTATAAGGTTATTAGAATATTTTTATTTAGACATTTTGCATCTCGAGATCTTTCCATATCTGGAAAATTCCTTTAGTTTCTTTCTTTGAATGTGGTGATTCACATGGAAGCTGATGCTGACATATAGGTGAACTTGACCCAGGAGAGTATATTCACCTGATGATTTATATAGAGGGTGTAGTTCAGCACATTTGAGGTTTCATTAAGGTGTGCCAAGTCATGTGATTCTGCTATTTTCATGACTTTCATTCCTGAGGCCAAGTTATGGAATCTAGACCATAAAGGATATAAACAAGCATTCCATTCCTTGATTTTTCTTTTTCCTCTATTGAATCATTTGATGTCTGTCTGGACCCCTGCTCCCCTTTTTACATCATTTTAAATTTCTATCTACCAAATATATTTCTCAGAAATAGGATCATATGTTTACATTAATATAGTAAGGTATGGAAGTGATGGAACACTTCAGAACCAAAATAAAAAAAAAAATAGGAAGTCAAGTAGATAGGAGGAAGGGATAATACTAATTAATTACATAATAATAAATATTATTTTCAGATTCCAATGCCTTTAATGTTTTCCTTCTTTACTTAATTAAGCACTATAAGGTATCAACATATTACTCAATGAAACTTTGGACTAGAACAGTTTTATGTGGCTGGAAATAAAATTGGAAAATATTTTTTTTATTTTTGAAAATAAGTAGTTAAATAATTTAGGAGACAAAAACAAGAGGATAAGCTCCTTCCCTCACCAAGATATATTCTACATTTGCCATATTTCTATTAGTTGCAATTTTTCTAGTTCACATTAACTCAATTTATCCACTAATATATTTATGTAATAAAGAGTAGTTATTGTCCTGGTTTATTTTGTATTAAAATTTACTATGAAAAGGGTGGGCCAGACATTTTGAAGACTTAATAGAAAAGAAAACCATGTCTATTGCTTGGTCCTAATACAGGAGGACTGGCCCCAGAGTGCTTAGAGACCAAAGAAAGATGCAGACAAATCCAGGATTGCACAGAGTGTAATTGGATGTAATGACAGAAGCGTAGTCCTGGGCAGCAACTGAGACCAGCTGGATCCCCACAATTGGGTCACAGGGAAGTGCATACATATTGGTGAGGACAAAAATGACTTCGTCCTAGCCAGAATGTACCTG